AGAATGTGTCAAAAGAGGTTTAATATATGTGTTGATAATTGTCAAGCTTTTTAGCAACTGTGACTCCAACATTTATGAAGGCTGAATTAAAGACTTCAGTTTACGGAGTATAACTCGATTGTTATTTATTGATCTATTGGTTGAGACAAGACAAAGACACACAGACATTGGCAAAGAATAGAACCTATAAGTAGGTTTGCCTTTGAGTAAATAGATGCGACACATTAGCAGAGGAGTTAAGAAAGCTCACAAGAAGAGCAATAAGGAAGATCTACAAATGATCCACGAAGTCTACTAAAGTGTAAGCCCAGTTTACAGTGCCTCAAGTGTGCATATATAACATACTTATATTATATATACTCTATTTGATATTGATTCACATTCACAACTGCAATTTAGCAATTATATATATATATATATAAGATAATATCAATAACAAATAATAGGAAAGCCTTGAAACACAATAAATAAAGAAATTAAGGAAAAAGTATTCCAATATATTGGTATTTATTAAAAGGAATTAAGAGTCACTTTGAATCAATTTATGCAAATTGTTGACCTTTGGTCAATACTCGAATAGTTAAATAGATAAGAGTGTTCCAGGGCTAGGCTAATAAACTGCATTTTAAAGATGTGTTTTGTGTTGGGCTATCTATGAGTGATATCACTCCGGGTCTCACGCCCGAGCAACTGTAATTAACCCAAGAGCTCGGCGATAGCACGTCTGATATACTTTTAACCCCATATGAACTCTTGAAAGACAAAGCAGAGCACTCGTCGTCGACGTCGACGTCGGCGTCGGCGACGCAGGCGCAACTAATGAGCAGCAGCAGGCAAAAGGATGGGGGAGACGAAGGGCGGTTAGGAAACTGCAACCACCACCATAAGCACTGGCCAACTGTTGTCTATTCGTTTGGTCCAATCCCCACCCCACACCCTTCGTTAGTCCTTTGCTCAATTCGCCGGCCGAACTTGAAGTAAAACTTTGCTGTGAAAATTTATGTTGTGCTCTATGGGCTGGCCTCGGACGACAGTGGCATTGGCATATGGTCAGCCGGTCAGCTGGTCAGCTGGTCCGTTGGACCGTTGGCCCGTTGGTCCGCTGACCCTCCCGAAAACGTGGAAACATATGTCAGGCACGGCATTGTGGTTAACAGTAGGAGAAGGGCATTTGTAAAATTTACTTTTATTTATATGTGGGAAGCAATTTATCGAACATAAATTCAAGCAACGAAAATCATTTATCATAATTGTGAGGACAGGGCTCTAAAGTTGGGCCTTGAGTCGGTCTTCCATTTCCACTTATATTTCACTCTAATAATAATGAAATATTCTGTGCAAATGATGAACACCAAGTGCTGAATGGACTCGTGCCTCGGCTTGGAAAAATTGTGCTTGGTGCAGCAGCAATTTCAAAAGTTTTACAAGCGTTGGCAACTTTCCTATGTAACTCAATCAAGTTGCACAAAATATGAGCGCTTGAACTTTAAAGACAAGCTCCGTTGCTCTGTTAGCCCGTTGCCCCTTTGCCCCTTTGCATGCACACAACAACAACTGTAGCTACAGCTAACTTGGCTAATTACAATTTCTAATGGCAACAGAGGGGGTCCTGCACCACTTGCTGCAATCAATAACAAGCACAAACAAATGCAACAACAACAACTACACACAACAACATCAACCGCTCGCTGATAATCAATAAAGCAAAAGCAGGACTCATATATCCATAACAACCAACAAGTGGAACCAACCAGCCGATGCCGCTGGCCGTGCAGCCCAGGTTGAAGTTGCAGTTAAAGTTGCAACTTTGTGGCTCTTGTTGCAATTGTTTTTGCTATGCTTCTTCTTATTGTTATTGCTGTTGTGTTGTAGTTGTTCTTGTTTAAGGGAATTCGGTAAAGGTGGGCCTCTACGAACTTTAACTACTCGTGTTAATTGTTGGCCCTCGATGCCAGCGCGCATCAGCCTTGCAGGCCAACAATTAAATGTCAGGCAATGCGTTGAGTGATTCGATGGATGGCTGCATGGCTCCAGGTAGGACTTGTCTCACTGGCCTTTTGCCCACCTGGAGTATGCTGTCTGTTGTCCTATGCGGCAGTGGACATTACCAAACTGTTCTACAGGCAATGTAAAACAAGTATATAACACTTTAAAAGCTAATTAAAATATATTTAAAAAAAACTTGAAAATGTTGTTAAGAGGTGTCCAGTTGATCAGTTAAAATGTAATGTCTATCATATAACATAATTATAAATACACATATATATAGAATATTTTATTTAGAATATTTTTAGTAGTCCTCATATCACTTTAAATTCATATAATTTCTATTTGTATTGTTTCTACTATTATAGAATACTAAAAAATATATTTTAAGTTGGAGCATATCAATTTTGATGTGTATTCATAGGTATTATGATAACTGTTTAGATGAAAGTAATCATTGTGAATTAGTAATAAAATTTGCGCTGATACATCATAAAAATTTTCTTATAGTTTCCCATTAATTGCTGCAAGCCTTGCACGATGGAGGATATATAGTTCATATCTAATCTATAATGTGCATGCAATTTAGACATTTTGCAACACTGTTCTCTTGTGACAATTGCGACCCATGCGGCGTATGTGAAATATTTGCCAAGTACTCGAAGCCTGGCAACAGCTGGCAAGGATCAATCAAGCAATTAAAATAGCGCACAAGTTGTTCGGGCAGACACATTTTGATCGTTTCATTAAAAGCAGAAATGCTAGAAGAGCGCGCAGGACGAGGAGGGGCACTGGCACTTCAGCTGGCTGCGCTGCCACTTAATTGCAGGTGTGCATGGCAAGGTGACAATTTTGCGTCAGTCGAGCGAGCAGCGCGCCAGCCAGTTCAACACACCATGACTCGGGCAAAAAAGAGGAGGCACCCCAGCAATGGCGAGGAGCTGCGCGGAGGGGGTCATTTTGGCGAGAAGTAATTGTTTTTTAAGCCCACCACAAACGCTGCAAATTATGCGCGCTGCCTGTCGATGGCTGCACAGCAATAAAAAATTATAAAAAAAAAAATAAAAATTGCTCGAAGGCGACGAAGTTCAAACACTCTTACCAAAATGTATAATGGGAAAAACATGGCAAAAGCGCTGAAGAACTTTGTATAGATATATATATATATATAAATATATATACAATATTTATATATATGTTAAGACTCTTTTATTTATATTTATTAAAAATTTAATGACAATGAACTTGAGAAACTTTCCGGGTCAGACCATAATGTATAGGGTATAACAATAATTGAAAAAGCCAAAAGAGAGAGAAAACAGGGCGAGAGAGAGAGAGAGAGAGAGAGAAGCAGGCAGAAAAAAATTAATAACTTTGTCGCTATCTTTGGACTCGACCGCTGTTGCTCTCCCGCTGCTGATCAGGTGGGGCGCAATTATAGTGCGCAGTTGGGGGCGTGTCTTGGCAGCAGCAGCAGCCGCCGCAGCTACTGCAGCAATTTTTGCATCTTTTATTTTATTATTATTTTTTTTTTCGCTGCTGTTGTGTTTACAAGTTAAGTACACAAAATTATCAGAAATTATATGCACTTTTGGGTCAGCGGGAAGACGATAAGGCGGCAATAGAGCAAAGCGTGTAGAACATCAACTTCAATGTGGAGAGTAGAAGAGCTGAGCAAGAGGCAGCTGCAAGCGAAGGGCCACCCCGTGTGGCCGTACCTTCTAAGGAGGCACTGCTGTAATTTCACGCAACTCTGCCGACATGCATAATATTCATAATTTCCATATTGAATGCTCCAGTCGCAGCTAAGCTTAAGACGCATTGCGTATACGCAGCGTGAGACAGCACAGAGATTAATTCATTCATTTAGATGATAAAGAGCGTAGCATATAATATCAATATAATTCTTAGACTGAAAACTATTTGTTAGGCGCTATTTGAGACAAATAAGTTTTGGTAGCGATAATCCAGAGTCCCAAATAAAGAGGATCGTTGGTTGCTGTGGGAATTATTCTATTGAATAATATCTAGTCCCCAATTGCATAAACATAAACATATTTTTATATTCTTAACAGATTTTTACATATTTGTGTTTATTTTAAATGTTAAAATATATCATTTAAAACATATAATATTGTGAATATTAATTTGCTAACAATATTATTAGTCTGCCTAATCGATCTATTTATCTCTCTCTCTCTATCTATCTGTCCTCTCATTTGTTTCTGAGTCAAATACAACAATTAGCTTGATTTGAACATCATTTTCTAAATTTGTATAGATAATCCAGAGTTACAACAGTTAAAAAAGCTGTCCCTATTTTTATAAATATCATACTCATTGAGTGTTGTTAAATAGGATATTATATTACAGTTAGAGGATGCGCAACAGGCAGCAGGAATCGTGGCATGGATTCAGTAAAGTATATATATTCTTGATCAGACTTAGAACTGTCAATATTGCCGCTTATTTTTCTGCCTTTCTTTCTTGGAGGCTATGTGAGCTGCTGCCCGCTAACCCTGCAGATTTTTCTATATTTTAAAAATACTATTATCATTCATGAAATTATCTACAACTATATCTTAAAAAAACAGAAAATCGACTGATCAAATTTTAATGAACTACACATTCTCGATTCGCCCAAGAACGCGACCTGTTCGTAGCAATCAGGGTATTCGCAAGTCGAGTACTTTCCAGAAGTGCGCTCTTATGTTCTCTGATTCGAATAGAATTCTGTTGTAATTCACAACATTGATATGGGTATTAGGTGATATGGCACATTGGATGACAAAGTGCAGATGCCCCGCTGTTGCAGCATATGTGAAGGGAAGACCAGTAGCACACACGCTGCTTGTGGCATCATTTATCAGTTGCTTGGCCTAACAAGTCGCAGATTGATGAAGGAACAACACACGCTTTGACTTTGCAGCGATTGATTGAAGTCTTTTAGTTTCATTGATTGAAATCTCTCGGCGAGCCCTGCGGTTGCTTTTTGGGCATGCCCCAGCACTCACCTTTTGCCGTTGCGTCGCCTTCGCTTGGTCGCGTAGACCGTGCCCAATTGGCTCATTGCAAGGGCGGAGTTCGTGATGGTCGCCGTTGTGAATGGTTTTTGTGTTCCTTTTGTTCTTGATTATTTGTTAATTTTATTTTGCTTAGCACACACTCTCACTCTTTGCAACGCTGTTGCAAGTTTGTAATATGTTTTTTATTCAGCAGGAGTCCTGCTGCTGCTGCAGGACCTCAGCAGCTGCGGCAACTGTTTTGAATTCGTTTTTGCCTTTGACTCTGCTTCAACATTTCGTCTCACATTTTGTTTATTTGATTCAACTTTTTGTTTGTTAAATATTGCACTTCTTCTTGTTCTTTTTTGCTGATTGTAAAATTAGCTGGAAATATTAAAAATTAAATTGCTTAATTTGTTCTCAGAAATACGGAAATGACTTTTCAAATAATGTAAAAATTTATGTTTAATATTTTTGTTAAGTTTACTTTAATTTTCATTGAATACGACTTAAATTTTGCAAATTTTAATTAGAATTTAATATATTATTGAAATGTTGTCACAAATGTTATCAAAGCAAATATAAATAAATTTGCAAATAAAATTTCCATTGGATGCGATATAATTAGTTGTGAATTCAGTTGAAAATATAATTAAAAATTTATTTTTTAATATTAATAACTATATGAAGACCGTTAGAATACAGTTCAATGTGAAATTCAGTCAAAGCCAACCAAAATATTTTTATTATTTTCAAGTTCGATTTGCAGTGTTGTAAAATTGATTTTGTTTCTTTTTTATTTTATTTTATTTTTAATTGTAACACTTTTGCTTTTCACTTGCACGCATTGGCATTATTGTTGGTGTTGGCGTGGTTGTTGTAGCTTGGTTGGTTTAGTTAAGCGTTGTTGGTGTTGACGCTCGATGACGACGCCAACGACGCATGCAACAAATCAGCAGGCCAAACGCAAGAACGGCACGCAAATCATTTTCAAAGCTCACTGCGGAGGCGTCGCAGCGGCAGAGGCAACAGAGGCGACAGAGGCGTCGCCAGAGCTGTCAGAATGACATTTAGAAGTGAAGCGAAGTGAAGTGAAGTGAATGACCGCACCGCCGGTAAAAAGGCAAAATTGGCAGCACTCTGCACTTGCACTTGTCTTGTCTCTGTAAAGCAGTTGTTGCGTGTGTGGGTGAACTATGTCAGCCAGGCAGGCATGCAGGCAGGCACGCAGTCCGACTGTTGAATTTGTAGGGTATCGCGTGATGGACAGGAAAGCGTAAATCGGAAATCGGAATTTAAATTTTTAATTTTTTTTTACTCGAATTTGATTTATCCCTTGGCTTTTTGAATTTTTTCTTGTTTTTGCACACTTTTTCACTTGCGTTCAGGCACGCACCTTTTCAACACTGGCACTGATCCCCAATGTGTGACGAGCACCGGACGAGGCGCCAGGCGCTGGCTTAGGCTTTAGCGTTAGCGTTAGCGTTGACGACGACGGCGGCGGCGGCGAACACCGTTAGCACAGTTAGCAGCGACTGCACGCGAGCGGCAGAAACGAATGAATATGTGAATGCGCGGTCCAAGCTCAAAGCTGAAACGTTGACGACGCTTGAAATGAAACAGGCTGTGTGCTGTTCTCCCTCTCCCACTCACACGCCCTCTCACGTACACACGCTCTCTCACCAAGCAACTGTAAAGTGCCGACGGCGTTGACCGTTGCCGAAAAAATATTCTCTTGTTTGGTTTTTTTTCTATTCTTTTTGTTGTCTTTGGTTTTGGTATTACGCGAGCATCGACTCTCGTGTGGCTCGGTGACTGCGCGGCCACGTCGACGCTTTGAGAATCCAACAAGAACTAAAAACGAAATTGGAAAAAACCAGTCCTGGTTGAAACGTTTTGGCATTTGGCACACGCCACTGCGCCCTGTCGTGTGCTGTGTGTGTTTTCGCTTTCCAGTCGTCCTGGCAACGCGATCATCAAGCGAGCAGCACTGTGTGCGAGCGAAATCGAACGAGCAAGCACTGGTCGTTCCATTCCCAGTGTGTCGCTACGTGCGCGCGCCTGGAAAGTACCAATTGCAACGGCCAATTATGGAAGCGTGTGCTGCATCTCTTTCTAGCACACGCTGTTCGCTACTTGACTTGACTTTGTGCTCAAAGCAAACGGGGCGTGTACTCACTAACACTCACGCACCATACACAGACACAGAGTATTGCTGACTCTCTCTGTAGCATGTGCTTACTGCTGTGTTTGACTGTGTGTGCAGTAATTCATTATGCTGTAATTAAGAGTGTTGTTTTTTTTTTCAACATTTTAAGCTGGGACTTTATTGCTGGTTATCATTTTGCAGCCATCGGCTAATCGCTTATCGAGCAAGCATTTTGCATCGACTGAAACATATAAAAAATAGCATAATGCTAACAATTGAAATAAATGAATGCGCTTATATTTAACTGGCTGTTGCTAAATAAAAGGCCAAAAACTACAAAGAGCAGAAATCATAAAAGAATATATGTAGCCTTGTCATTTATCTCAATGATTTATTTATGTCAGTCTGACGACGACAACTACAAGACACAATTCTCGGAAGAATAAAATAAATAAAATAAAGACAAAAACAAAATGTCTGCACTCAAGGGAGCAGAGCACTCGTGGAAGAGCAAGAAAGAGGAGCAGGATCAGCAGCAGCAACTAAAATGCCGCCATATGTCCGCCTGTAACCGCAAACACTTGTAACAGATGGCATAGCCAATAAGTGAGGCGGACAGGGAGAGAGGCAGAGAATGAAAACTATAGTTAGACTTCGGACAACACACACTCTCTGTCTCTCTCTCTCCCCCTGTCTATCTCAAATAATAATACACAGAGCCGAAATAGATGCTCACAAATTAAGAGTGCAATGGGGAAGTATAACTGTTGATTGCATTACCTAATTCAAGGACAATAAACAATATCCAAGTAATCCATAAGTATTTTAATTTCTGATTTCTGAATAAATTTGATATTATATTTTCAGCCATAATTCATTGCGATCTCAATGCGAAAGTAAAATTATAAAAAGTTTAATATAATCTAATCAGATCGAGCTTATAGAGTCTGCCGACTTCGTTTTTCATTTATATAAACTGGGCTATTGATATTAAAATCTCCCATATATGAATTTTGTGCACTTTATGTGCAGCTGTATAAATATTTATATTTCAAGGACTTCAATTGCTAAATAGACACTTTTTTATTTATTAGGTTTATAATATATCTACGATCTGTTTTTTATCATAATGAAATGAAGACAGTTCTTTTAATTCATCTGTTTTTCAATAACAACTATTATTTAAGGCCTGTAAACTTACATTTTATTTTCCAATTTAATAACTAATTAATAATATTCCTTATAATAAATTATTAAGATTAACAATTTATTTTTTATAGCTATTAGAAGATTACTAAGTATAATATTATATAATACATGTAAAGCCTTGTTCACTCAACACTAAATTATTTATTATTATTATTATTTTGAAAACAATTTGAAACGAATGCTAAGATTATTATTATTTACCACGCAGATATCCTTCCCAAACAATGATGATGAAATGCAAACCGTCTAAGAGATATTTATATTTGAACTTACGGCCTGATGAAGGAAATTCTTCTCAGTGTCTAAAGAGTGACGTCGCGACGGCTGGGAAATAAAGAAAAAAGGTGTCTGAGGTAGACTCGAACTGAAGGCAATTACAATTGCGTGCAGGTTTTGCCAAGTTGCAGCCAAATGTTTATCTCGACTCTCGTCTAGTCGAAGGGAGTCCTGTTCTTGGCCTGGGAATTGAGTACTGGGTATTGGGTATTGAGTGTTGAATAGTGAGTATTGAATAGTGAGTAGTGAGGAGTGAGTATTGAGTATTGGCTATTGGCTATTGGCTATTGGGATTGGCTAGAGCTTCGGAGCTGCGCATGCGCAAATTCCCGCTGAGCAGACGGCACAGCAAAACAGAAGGCAAATGGCAAAGCCAATGTCAATCGCAGCCACTAATAAGCCAACTGGTATCAAGTACACTTAGAGAAATTATCAAGACTCTCTTAACTAAATGAATATTTTATGATTATTTTTGATATTTTTAATTTAATTTAAAGCAAACCAAAGAAGAGAGGCTCTTAGTCAACCGTGCAAGCATTGCAAATATATGTGGACTTGTTTTTGCTGAGTGCAGCAGCATTGGTAACTGCAACAGCAGCAGCTGCCCACTCACCCTTTGCATGCTGCCGCTGCAGCAGCTCCAGCACTTGCAGCTTATCAATTTACGCTTTCGACTCGAGAGACTGGACAGTTGCAGGTGCCTCTTGGCATTACCCAGTCCAAGTCGCAGTCCAGGTCGAAGTCGCAGCATTTCGCTTGTCGTCTTCGCATATCAATTTCCACGAGGATCCCTTATGCAGACAGATAGACAGACAGACGGACAGACAGACGGACAGACAGACGGACAGACAGACGAACAGACAGTCCGTGTTGCAGTCAAAGTCGTGGCCGAAGTCCTCAGTTGTTTTGAGGAATTATGTGTTTGTATAACTTTTTGCCGCAGGCACTTAATATGCTCCGGAGTGTCAGCTATGCCCCTTCCCAGCCTAATTTCCTATAACAAGTTTCTCATTACTCGCGCGACTTTTTGTTTCAATATTATTTCTTATTGGCTGTGTGCTTGGGGTGCAGGGCAGCTGCCCGAACGCATCAATGTCAAAGTTGATGGCTGGCGATGCAGATCTAGACAAGCGCTATAATTTGCCAATTAAGTGGCTCATCGTGCTGCCCCTTGAGCCCCTCAATCGATGCCTATCGGGCCACAGTCAACGGCTGATGACATTAGCACAGAAAGCAGACAAAAAATGTTAAAGAACAAAGAGTTAAAGAGGCGCCTAGGCAAAAAACATATAGCTTGTGTGTGTATCAATTAAATATAATTATTAGGCAAACAGCATTAAAAAATACAAAGAATAAATAAATAAAAGAGCAAAAACAAGCCAAAGCCATAAAGGATACACAAAGTGCACATTTAATGGCTGCCAACGACAATAAACAAATGTTTACCTTTGCCAGATATGCACCACACACACACACACACACACAGGCACGCCCCGTTGAGCTGGCTGCTAAGTAGCTGCAATTATTAATTGCCATTTGCGACAACTCACTGCAGCACAAAATGGCGGCCTTTGTGACAAAACAAACAAACATACAACTAACAGCGACGACAACAGCAGCAGCACTATGTCATTTTAGACACAACAACCACACAAAGAATGCAAACAATGGCCGCGAACAACAACAACCACAGCAGCAACCACAACTCAACCCAGTCAAAGCGA